ATTGCATTATGCGCTCATCCAAATGTAAGTCTTCTTGTCCTTTGAACAGAAACGGATAACTGAAAAAAAATCCCTTTTGAACTGCTGAACTAACTGTAAGATTTCTTGGTACTTTTGCTGATAACGGGCACCACCGCGCCTCACAGATGCTCATATGCTCATACGCTTCATACATAAGTCGAAGCCTACGAGTTAGCCTCATCGCTGGGCTAAGCGTATGAGATGCACATTCAATTTCGAGAAAATTTGATCTACTGAAGCAAAAAAAAATTTTTTTTTAATAAATTCCAAACTCACTCAACACCATCTGAACCGATCAGCACAACTTTTTTGGGTCTTGTTTTTGTGGGCAGTACAATCGACTGCTTACTAACACGCTCGATCATGACCACATCCGAGAAATCTTTCGACTCTTGACCCGGTATTGGAATCTGGAATCAGTGAAATCTTTGAGAATACTTTATTAACTCAACCAATTCAAAAAGCGATACTTCTACCAATTGAATGTTCAAAGTTGACGGCGATTCACAACTGCACAATCACAATTTCAACAGAAGCACGCAGTGGCGACTACTAATTCATTTCAATAAATTTTAAAAATTTCAAATTTATTCAATTCAAATTTACAATTAGCGTTATCTCAGCCACAATTTGCCTCTTTTCTCCATCCCCAATAGAGACGGATTAACGAAAGTTTTTATTTTATTTCAATAACTTTCGTTGTAATGAGATTACTATTCATTTCATTTCAATAAATTCCGAAATGTTCCTGAACAATGCAAAACAAGTAAAAACTCACGTGAGAATGTGAGAATTGCAGAAGACGTGGTGAAACTTCGGCAGTTTGCAAGGTTTGCAGCGAACGTTTATTGGCACGTTGTGTGAAATGAATTAACAACTAAAAAATGGAACAATCATTCATTTTATCATATGGCAACACCAACAATACCGTTCATATAAATGACATTCACTTTTACAATACTATATTAACTATCATATCTCATGTTCATACTCACAAGCAATTCAG